GGGGCATCAAACTGCCTCAGTCTTAAATTACAGTCTGTACTTTAAAATAGAATGCATGCACCACATGTTCCTGAAGCTAGAGGGTGGGAGTGTTATTCACTGAAAATTGAAGGCTTGTTGAGTCAATAATCTTCTTTCAGAGAGTAACAATTTTCAGCTAAAATTTCTTGACCCAAACAAAGGAAAACAAGATCATTCAGTTATTTTACAACACGGCAGAAGAAGAAAAGTAAGTGGGAAAGAGGCATACTAGTCTTATTCTACTTGATGGAAAAACAATGGAAAATTTAATTCACAAGTATTACTTACATTTCCTTTTTGTTCATATTTAACCTACTCCCAGTTATTTGCAGATGGAGACATGCACAGAAACAAGTAACCACAGGACAGAACTTACACATACATCTATGAACTGCCCACTGCTTTTATCTCCCAAGAATTACCAGGAATTCATTTACAGGTTTCCATGTCCACACAAACCTCCTTTTTTCTTAAACTGGAAACAACATCCTGAATTTTAAAACACCACTTCAGCTTGAATTTTCTAATTTTTGCTTATCTGCAAACAATCCAACACTGTCTATAAAATGAGAGGGCTGCTGCACCATCTCTCCTTTAATACTCATTTTTCCTTACCGAAACGGTTACAGACCTCATTAATATTTACACTGTGGTTGTGCCCACATCCTCAACCATCAAGGATTCTGAGCTAAGCTTTTCATGAATGTCACCAGAGTCCCTTGTCCCAGGAAAAGAGGAGGTATTTCCTAACTGTCAGCTACAGTTTCTCAAACTATGCTGGGAATTCTTTTCCTGGCTTAAGACTTCAACCATAAACAACACTTGTTCAGGGAGAACTTCCCTGGCTGGAGATGATTTTCCAAGCTACTTTGTATTCTAGAAGTTGGAATGTGAATGTGAATTGTCAAACCATTCCATGCTTTTCCTTACAGCCAGCAACTATTAAGATACATCCAAAATGATGTTGATCCATGAGCCAAGTATATCTAGTCTTGTATTTATAGCTCATCACTAGTTCTCAACAGAGGCCTTCTGAAATCTACAATGAGAAAAGCATGCCGCACAGAAGAATGAACATCCAGCACTCCATACATCCTACAGAGGCTCTCTAAAAATGATGTGAAACACAACTGTGAAGCGGCTAATGAAGTTGGGTAGGAATTGCTGAAGTACCACTTCCCACAGTGCCAAGCATAACGAAACAACACATCTTAAAAGGTTTCAAACAACAGTATGTACTATTTGAGGCCCACCTTTACTTTGAAGCTCATACACCAAACCAGAGCCAGCTAGAGTGAAACTTGACAAGTCATAGTACTGCACATGATACAAAGAGTGTTCTACCTCTGTGCCAGCTATTGTTTTGCTTCACATGAAAATTCTTGTGCCTCCATGTGAAGACGCAGTGAAAAAGTGACGTCGTAGAATTAATGTGTAAGCGCTCCAAGTGTGAGCGACCTGCCAAGGCACCAGTTCCCTCCACTTCAGATACAACTTTCTGCCTTCAGTATCACATGAGCAATTACGCAGTGATTCAGCCCCAAACTAACCCAGAAATTATTTCTTAGCTAGGTCGGCTCCCTGAGTCACAGCGCTGAGAGCGGAGGATGTGAGAAGGCGCAGATGGCACACTGTGGGCACATGGCAGGGCTGCAACCAACCTAACTTACAGCGAAGCCAAGCAGCTGCAGGACCTCACCTATAGGCAGCAACCAGAAGAAATCAGCAGAAACACTGGTTTCAGAAACTTGGCAACCTTGGGTAGGCCATCTGACCTCACACATCAAACAACAAGCACAACTAGCACTGAGCAAAGAAAGAAAGAAAAAAAAAAAAAAAAAGGACTATATTAAAACAGAACAAACTAAAAAACCCCAACATCTATCTGAAATGACTTTCGTAGTGATACCAGTAAAAAATAAATTCATCCATGTCTTCTGCCCTTCATTCTACCACCACAATCCAACATGAACATGGACCAAATTACTCATTATGGCAAAACAAAGTATTTGTCTTTGCAGGCACACACACACAACCAGTGCTGACATAAGCTCCTTTCTTGCGAGAGCAAACTTGCAGATACACCGTTCAGAAGATTTTTCCTGCAAGTCTGCTCTATCTTTCCCACAATAGCAGAAGTGTGTATTTTGTATTATCCCTTAAACCTCAGTAAATATATTCTGTAGAAGCTGTTCTCCAGACAATTGCATTCAGGCTTCTCCCCCTTTATTCTTCCACTCTAATAGGGAACAGTTTCTGTTTATTACTTCCTTTCCTTCACAGAGTACCTAACTCCCATGTTTTCTCAAAAGCTTGAGATTTCCTTCTAATTGTGACCCCAACAAAAGTGCTCGGAGCACTATTCTATGCAACTTTTCATTTGGGCTCTCGGTGACTCCACATGGTAAAAGACCTCCGGGTCAAACCCTTCAGATATCAGAGCATTTAGGAGAAGGAAAGGAAGCATTGTATAGAATCTGACAGGCCATTAGAAGTAGCTAATAAAGCCATATTTTGTTTGTAGCCATTTGTTACCAACCCACATTACAAATTTGTCTGCTTTGAACTTTATGGGAACATTCATGCCAGGACTTTTATATACAACGTGTGAAGGAAACGGAACAACCATTGAGCTGTTTAGCTGTGCTTACTGTGACACAAACCTGCTGAAAAAACTCTCTAAAAGGATGACACAAGTCAGCATTCAGTGCTGCAAAAAGTGGCCAGCTCCTCTTCAAATCCATCAAAGGGAAACTCTTTTTTCCAAAGCCACATCAGAGAACACCATTCAGCATTTAGTATTACATCTCTTTTGTTGTTTTTAGAGATTCGTATAAGCTTGCTATGTAGCTGCTGTGATTTTACACAATGCCCTTAAGAAATAAAAAGATAACGGGCAAACTGTATAAATATCAGAATACCATGAAACAAAACATACCCAAATTTTATTAAAAGCGTAACACCACTGCTCTCATTTCAAGCTTTAATATACAAAGACTTACTGACTACCCTCGAGAACAGCATTATCTTGAAAACAAGCTTAGGAAGCCACATTTAGCATCCCAAAATGACACTATAACTAGGAATACTAAATGAGAAATAGTGATCACTGAATTTCATAACCAGCTGAAAATTGAATGCAGGCCTCTTGCTCAAGGAGAAAAAATTGTTTAAATGGTCAAGCCGTCCTCACCCCCAGTACTAAGCATTCAGGTCTTCATCACGCTCACTGTACTTCGAATGCATGGGCCATTCCTCAATTCTAAGGCATTTCCTTTGGAAGTAGGTGAGTTTGCTCACAGTACCGAAAAGACAATGTCACAATATATGAAAGGTTCCAGATGGTCTTACATTTGGCAAACTGTACTGCCTCACATTCTCCTCCCTATCCAAATGGAGGTTGGGGTGTTCAGTATGTAAGCTTTCCAGAAGCGAAGGCTCTGAACAACAGCATTTACAACAAACCTACAGTATAAGCTACACTGCCACAATGGTTAACATTCATTGTTAATACCACCAGCTTACCCATACCTAGAATAATAATGAGCTACTAAATATACCGAACACTTAGGGACACAGATAATACCCAACAGTCTGCTTAGATACTGTGGTGACAGAGGTAGGACAGAGCATGGATTAAAAGTAGGACGATTGTTTAAGAAAAATTGCTGGCAAATTAGAACATTATTTAATAAATAACTAGTTCTATCTGTCCTAATAAACACTGTTCATGAAAAATTGAGGTAAGAACTTCATTTTAATTTAACTGTTTTGTTGTTTTTATAGCTGTTGCCTAAAGAGTTTAAATAGCAGTTGCCTCCTATTTTTAAAGTAATTGCCAGCACTCATTTTTGAGACGAGTTCAGAGAAACTGGTCTTCTTAAAAAAGTTTTCCTGTCAAATTAACACTGGTTCAAAGTAAACAGATAGCTCTTCTCACACCAGTTTTCATAGTTCTCCTGAAGCAGGCATGTCTCAAACATCATGTAAAGAATTTGTGGCATATGTACTCTCCTGGGTGCCTAAGATATAACTTTAAATGCTGTGAAGATGTTTATTACCCTACTTTTAAGAACTGACAATAGCGCCATGTGTCAGAGGAAAAATACACAACAAACTGCCAGACTTCACACATACATTTGGTGTTTTGATAGGTAAACTCTTCAGAAGAACCTCTCTGCTAACTGGAAATTAATATCCAGTAAACCTGCAAAAACATTCTGTAGGTTTGCAGTACATTATTCCAAGCTAAATGTCACAAAGCATATAAACAGTTTCCACCTTTTAAGCTGAATGTAATGTCTTCTTGTTGGTTGAAATTCAGGCTGTTGTTCTAACAACAAACAAGAAAATCTCCAAACCAGCAACAGAATACAGAGCCAGAGCCAGAGCACTTTGGCAATTACAGTAAAATAAGACCTTCAATAACACAAGTAGCTGCAGTATCTCTGTAAAGTGTGTTAATGTGTGCTGTTTTCCCCCACAGCAGAATGCAGAGAGCTCAGAAAACAAAGAAAGGTTATTCCACAATAATCGCCCAACCAAACAATCAACCTTGCCCAAGTATCACTACCATAACCCACTACTACACTTCTGTCTGTAGTAGTAGACCACTGCAGAATTAACATGTCAAACTCATTATTTATGCTTAAGGTTTGGAACAAATAACTCATGGTGTCAGCATTCTAAATCAAAATATACTGAAATCCTTGGAAAACTGCACAGAAAAAAGCCTCTTCCTCATCAGATAGTTTTGTGCAAGTACAGAATTCCTAAAGACCAGAAGAAATATTGATCTATTTCCTCTGTGCAGATATAAATGTGCACAAATACAAAACATGGATGTGGATAGTGACATTTTGAATCAGTACAACCCCTAAGCTAAGTCCACCACTCATATACAGGTTCTCATCAGCTTGTGAACAACCTTGTTTATAATTTAAAAATACTGAACTCAAAGAAAAACATTAATTTCTTACTGGTAAGCTCGATGGTCGTTCTTGCTGGATTAGGTTCAAGTCTTCATGGTTAGGCTTTCCTGGGGCCATAGGGGGTTGAGATCTGGTTCCATAGCCTTCCTGAGACATGTCCTGCAAAAATAGTTGTAACAGAATTATTAACTTGATTCAGTAATTACAATTAAATTAACTTCACATAAGGGTGAAAATATAATGCTGCAATGAAAAAATCAAAAAATAAACACCAAGTTTTTGGTAGTTAAATCTCCTTGGAAAATATCCATAGGTACCAGTATAACTAACACAGTTTTTGAAGAAAACTGATAGAGTGGCAGACAGATGTGCCTACAGGTGGCGTGGAATCAGACCACTGGTAGGCAGACTAACACATGCCAAAAAAACAACAAACCTTCTCAACCAATGACCCGCTATACTGCAAAAGAGGCATGAGCACAAAGTAGTCAAAACTTTCATCCTACTCTTAGATGAGTTACCAAGCCTTCTGATGAAATACTGAGCCAGGTAGAAGGACTAGACTGCAAATAAAGTTGTAACCCTGCTGTGTCATCAGATGCCTGTAACAATCCTGGATTTACCAACACTATGACTGAGATGGCTTTCAAAAGCTGCCTATCAAGTGGTGGTAAAGATCACATCTGCTGGAGATGTGTTGCATCCAATGGCTTAGAAGGAAATATTTAATTGAAAGCCGCTCCAAAGCCTGTACCTGCAACTGAGGGATTTTCCTCCCAGTGCAGTCCAAGCAGTCTTAGGTAATGGTCTGGCACCAGCCTTGCTGCAAAGGGGCAAGTGGGGGCCAAAAAACCCTCTCCCACCCCACATCCCACAGCACAAACTTACTTGACATGCAAGATACTTGCCTATTACAAAGCCCTAGATTCAGGCTTCATTGTAGCTGCTATATTTCACATTGGCAGCTTCTACACTAACTGAGCAAGGAAAACAACTGAAAGCACAGTACCTCCTTCAGCATGGGTAACTGGCAGGGAAAGCTGAAAAACCAGTTCCTGACTGCTAGAAAAAGATATCACACCTTAAAGGTTTCTCTTTGTTGTTTCTAAGTTTTTCGATTCTCTTTTCCCCTTCCCAAGCACACTGGAGGTTAATTTGCTCCAGTCATCCCCTTGCATCTAACGCTTCTATTGACGCCCGCAAGAGGCCGGGCAGGGGAGAACAGGAAGGGACAAGGAGCTTTCTCTGTGCCACCCCCACCTGCACCGTGCGATCACACTGCTGCTGCTTGCAGAGGCTGCTCTTGCAGTCAAGTGTCCGCATCCACACAAGTCATTGCTCGCACACAGCCTGCACAGACCAGTCGCCTTGCAGAGCAGGAAAGCGTTCTGTCTCATTCTGAGCCCCGCTGCTGACAGAGACATTTGTTAACAGCCACTACTTCCATTCAGCTCCTTCCATTGCTTTGAGCTCTCCTGAGTTACTTCAAGGGATGCAGAAAACTCAGCGAGGCTCATAAAACAAAACCCAGCAAAGCTGGTCGGATGTAAACCCAACAACGAGAGATCCGATCCGCAAGCCTGTGCCAAGCCAAATCAAGAAGCACTTAAAAGGCCAGCACTTCAATGTGGTTACCAGCAGAGGGTAACAATTAGGCTTAGGGGTGACAAAGGCTGATGGCTGAATGATGATTATCCCCTGTGACCCCCCGCATGCCCTCCGCCCAGACCGCCACTTGTCACACAGCTCTCCTGCTGCGCACACCAGCAGGTTCCTGTGGATTAGTGGCGAGGTTTAAAACCAACAAACGGCACAAGGCCGCCATTCAGCAGCCTTCACCCTGCCACAAAGGAGGAGAAAGGTGCAGGACAGCTTCACAATAGGCAAACAAATGAGCAAACCTCTGCTTTCCCCCTCATTTCAAAACACACGCGCGCACTCGCGCACACGCGCACGGCTGTTGTCCCTGTGCAGATGCCTGTAACAAACCCCGCCACGGAGATCCAGGCTTCCAGGTCACCTTTCTGTGCGCTTCTCTAATTCTTTACAGATGAAAAAACACCGAACAAGAACCATTTGTTGGAACAGCAACAGAAACAAAAGCAAAAATTATCCAGAAACAACAGAAGTGGCTAACAAAAAAAGATAAATGTAATATTTGCTTGGGAGACATCATTCTGGAAACACAATTACTCCTTTTTCTAAAGAGCCACTACAGGCTTAGGACAGTTTTTCTGAGAACAAAAAGAAAAGCCAGGAGCCTTTAATTCCTCACCAAGTACCAAGCATGGATTTCCCATTTGCTAAATTTTACTTGAAACCTCGCTCCCTACTTAAATTTCCATGGGAGAGGAAGAGGAGAGTAAAGAGCACAGTTTTTCATAAGAAATATCACACGCTGAATGGAATTTACTTTTACCTGAGTACTGAACGCTTTGAGATGTCTTTCCTCACACTGAAGTGCACATAAAAGAATGTGAACATTACAGCCTTTGTCTTTTTAATTGCACAACTTCCATAATGCCTTTCTTTCTGACTGTCAAAAAATCAAATTGATTTGCTCAGTTCTAGGTTAGGTTTGGAAGCAAATACTGCAGTGGTTGTTATGATGAGGTGCGCTCCAAACGAGACTGAGACCACACAACTACTGCCCACACTCACTGTAACGCCACTAGATGCTTTGATGACTGCAAACTTGGGAAGTGGCTCTTGAGAAATGAAAAACTGGTTTGCTCTCTAAGCTTGAGGCACAGGAATCTTCCTGAGGAAATGTGCATGGGATTGTGTGTACAGCTTTCTGTGTTTATACATATGTGCTGTCCAATAAAAACAGTCAACTTACATAATAAACATGATGACAGTTAAATCGTAGCATGTTACACTAAGAGGTTAGTTTTATAACCAATGTAGTGTATAGTTTCATTCCCTCTGAAAAACAGGAGAGAGAAAATCCCTAGTGTTTTCCTTCAGTTCTTCATGTTGGAAAACGTTAACATGCAGCATATTACTGAACAGATAAAATGGATTTTGAGAAAGAAATAAAACATAAGGACAGAGGTGTTAGGGTAAACTGTCCATCACTGAAGAAATGCACATTCTCTCTTTCAGTTTAGAAAGGTCATTTTTCTTTCTAGCATCTAGGGATGGATTTATCAGGAAATCACGGGAGGGAAATTAAGGGAAGAGGGAACATAATGCTATGTGTGCTACAGACATAGCTAAAAGTCCCCTACTGATATCAGAACTCATCTTCTCCCAAGATCTCTGATTTTTTTTCCTTTGACTTCCAGTGTTTTATCCATCAGTGATACCATCTTTCAAAGCTGTGATTTTTTTTTTTATCAATCACAAAAAATCCTTCTGCCCATGGAAGACAAGTGTGTATGAGTACAACACAGAGGAATCCAAGCTTTCATAAACAGAAGGCTACAAGTTTCCACTCAGAACTTCCCAAACTGGCACCAATCCAATCATATCATAGCTGGTATAGCACAAACTGTCAACAGAGTTGTAAAATAACTAAAAGCAGGGTTTCCCCCATCAGATTTTATAAAAGGCGCTGGGAGAAATAATCAGCAAGTCATAAACATGTACTCTACAATATCTGAAGTATAACCTGTTTTTAAAAAAATCTTTATACTGTGAAATAGGTAAGCCAAAAAAAGAAGGAAGAAGGAAAAAAATGAATATGCCTGTGTATACACAGCCTAAATATTGGTTAAGTTGTCCAGATATCAATCACTGATAATCACTGTATGATTATGGACAATAACAATAACCAACTCCTTATCATCCACAGAGCCAGTTATTTACCTCTTGCTCACATGTATTTTTAGCTTGGGCTACATATTGCAGTGGTGTATGGAGCTCCTGATGTGTATCCTCATGATGAGGAAGAAAGAGAAAGGTATTTTCTTAGCTCTTGCTCTCTGATATTGTATTTATTTTTTAAACTTTCTGTCTTTAGTTCTGGTATGGAGTGTCACTAAGCCAGAGGTTTCAAGTGGGTTGCAGGGACATCAAAGACTCCTGTTCTTACTTTCCCCAGTCTTGTAGCTGGGTACCAACATCTTACCGTGCTGGGTCTTCACACGGTCACTCTGTGAAAAGGCGCAACTTAAAGCTTGCCGAAGACAAACTCCCTGCCTCCCAGCTTTGTTCATTGAGCAGGACTGGCCTGGGAAAGTTGGGTGTTTCTACCAGCCACCAAATTGCAGCTAAAGCCAACTGCACAGCAACCTTCTGGAGACAGCCACAGATAGACAACCTTTCCCTTTGTGATGAGCAAAATTAGTGTAACGCTTTTGATCTCTAGCTGGACCTAGTTTAAAAAAACTGAATCTGTACACTTCTATGTTTTCTCTGCAAAACTGAATGAATGTAGCACTAGGAATGTGCAAAGCCATGTAGATGAAACACACACTTGTTTTAAGTTCTGATAAAGAGATAAGATCTAATTATGATACAGTTTGAATTTTTTTTCAATGGGTAATGAAAACATAGTAAAATCATTAACGTTTCAGGGAAACCACATTTAAAGAAAGGCTGAGTGAGAAATATCACTCAGGCTTCATCCACTTCTATTGCAGCAAACTGCAGAGGAATAACATGGCCACTCAGGAAGGTACGTACCACGACGGTTAAATTGAAGCAAAATAATTTATGGAATATATATATAGTACTCTTTACATTTCAAAAGCTCATTAAAAACTATGCTAGTGCTTGTATTCTTTTTTTAGTTTATCCGTAGAAGACTTCAACTATGAGAGCACTGAATTCTACAGCAATGTGACAACAGCAAAATTGAAACCAAATGTGGTTTTTTTTTTCCCCCCACACCACCTGAGAATGGAGCTCAGGGCTCAGTTAAACACTCAAGATAAATATACAGCTCTACCATATAAGATTATTTTACTCATCTCTGATGTGACACTATGGAATAGAAAAAAAGGCAAGTGATTTGTTAATGGCTATAGAAAGACGTACCTTGTTATCACTTACCAAAGTATCCTTGTGTGCTGTGTCATTAAATAAAGATCAAGACATTTCTTTTTATTTTCATCCTCATGCAAAAAGCTACAATAAAAAAAATATTCCTCACCTAAATGGTACTATATCCCTATACAACCAACCTTGAGCTCAATCCTAATACCTAAAAC